GTTTGCAGTCGCAAAAGGTCTAAGCCAATCAGACATGGACAAAAAAAAAGGATCAGTCTATGTGTCGAGGGGGGGAGAACTAGACACCCCTTTACAGCCATGGTCCGGTCTGACAGCGATCAGCTGTCTGCGGGAGAGAGGAAGAGACAGATTATTGCATAAATATGCAAACCTACAGTTAACTTAACTGCTGGAGAAGAAAGATCATGGGCGGGGGGGGAGAGAGCTGTGGCTGATGGGCCATTAGGTGTGTAAACACACAGCTGATCACCTGAGAGCTGCCCTTTCATTCAGACTATTTAAAAAAAAAAACGGTCTGATTTTAACATTGCACAACAATGAACTCAATGTGTGATTGTTATAGCAGTAATATTAAACACTAATAATACAGTAAACTATTAACAATAGTATAATATTATAGCCCGTTTGCCCATGGTGAGATGACGAGGCTTCATTAAAAATAAACCTCTTTTTAGTGAATTACTGAGTTTGGGCAAGTTAATAACGTTTTAACCTGTTCCACTCTGAGCCTGTTTTTCAGGTCTCAGGCTCGAAAATGCCATTCCCAGAACAAATGACCATATCTTCCTTTCTAAAAGGGTTAAATTAATAATCGTTATTCTCAAAGTAATGATAAACCTGTGAGTTGGATGTAGAAAAGTCAGAATCAATACAGATGTTTTTTATTTTAAAGAAAATTCAGATTGAACATAGTAAAAAACTGTAAATTATAGTGTCCGTCCAAAAATTCTGTTTTACTTATAGTGAAAACTACCCTTGGATGATGGGTTAGTAGACTAAAAGCTTTAGGAATCCAAAGTACAACATATAATAAGTACCCTGTATCAAGATTGATGCAAAACAAGTGAAATTTGACCTTTTTAGAGAGATTTAGCCACAAAAAACCACTTCTGGGGTCATTTGGGTGCATTTGACCTATCTCTGGCCCCCCTTGGTCGATTTTGATGAATGAAATGTCGTTATAACCGCTAGAGCCAATGGAATTTGCTGCATATTTGAGACTCAATCAGAGTGTAATTGTGAAAACATTTATTCAACTCCAAGGTCAGACTCTGAAGTGGCAAAATGCAGTTCTTTGCTAAGCTACTAGTCCTCATTAGGCCAGACATTACCAAACCCAATTCAAAACTTTCCGTATCAATAAAAAGTATGAGACATAATGAAGGAGAGTAAATGAGAGGCAAGAAGAGAAAGAAGGATACACAAGAGGATAGGATAAGACAATGAAGGAGTGAACTGAAAAGGATTAGGCTTGGAGGAAAGATGGTAGAAGAACAAAGAGGAAGTTAAGGAAAGAACACATTTGGAGCGAAAGACAAAGAAAGTAACAAAAACTGGATACAGTTCCCCCTCTCTTTTCTATTGTCACTTTGCTTCTCTAATTTCCTCTGTGTACATACTCCCTTCATCTCACCATCTCTAATTAATGCTTTTGTTTCAATTGTGTGTGTGTGTGTGTGTGTGTGTGTGTGTGTGTGTGTGTGTGTGTGTGTGTGTGTGTGTGTGTGTGTGTGTGTGTGTGTGTGTGTGTGTGTGTGTGTGTGTGTGTGTGTGGTTGGATTAAGCAACTCTTGGGAGTTCCTGGCTCCCCTCCTAAATCACACTCTCTCTCTCACACACACACACACACACACACACACACGTCAGATATTGTAATGGAGGTCAACTGAAGGTGCTGAGTCCGTAATGTAGTTGTCAGAGCCAAATGAACTCATTTATTCAGTTGTCTTATGCCTCTCATTTACACCTTCCATATAATATAATGCCTCCATTCACCCTCTACACATCCATCCTCAGGCCTTGCTTTTAACAATTAAAGCTTAAGTGCTCACATAATTCTTCAGAGTGAAGTCAATAACAGGGTTTACATGGGTCCCGAAGAATATGGCCTTTCACATATACGTGTTACAGTATACCAGATTTGAAGACCATAGCTGCTGCATTTTGGCCGGGTAGTTTCACACTAAACGTACCATTATGTTTCCTTGCACCATAACTACTTGTGGAATAACTTAACTGAGATGAATTTAAACATGTAAACACCATTGTGGGAAACCTAATCATACATTTTTATTATGAGTATTTTTACTAGTTGTCTGGTTATTTCAACACCATACCAGTTACAAGTAAGTTTCTGTAAAAAGTAACGAAGTGGTGAAAGCAACAAGTCCCATCTTTAGTTTAGTAGCATCAAATCAATCTGTGCCCACGAGACGAATAGAGGTGCAGGAATGAGTCGTAAGCCTGAACTGAATCAGCATTTTAGCACTTTCAGTTCCCCTCGGTTTCTTTAATGAGGTTTGGGTTACTATTAAATACCCCAATAGAAAATGTCTGAAGGTTTTACTTTTCTTAAATACTTGCTAACAAGTGACTAAATGAAGCTACTAAACATCATCACCGGAACTATAGCCTGCCTTTAGCTTAGCAGTGGCGACGGGAAGTCATGTGACCATAATGTAGTTCCTTTATACCCTAAAGTTAACTTTGTACTTCTGGTAATTGCATTTGCGCTTCAAAAACCAAAAAGTGGAGATTATACTGCTGAACTAAACGTAAAAGTATCATAAACGTTTGTTTGCCAAACACTTTATTTTCAGCAATATTCAAAATATAATGGAAAGATCACATTACTTTCAGTGAAGGAGATGCTAACTTCAGGGTTGGACTGTTAAAATATGACAAGGTTTAAACTGTTAAAAACGTGCCTGATGAAACCCTATCCAAGCCGATTTGATTTGTTCCAGTAGAGGGTTTTTGTGTCTTTCTCGTTGGAATTCACTATATCGCGTCTTCCAGTGGTTGGTGCAGGCGAGCGAAGCGGCATTTGATTCGTCCGGGTAATCTCCAGTGCATTGTGGGGCTTGGCTGCATCGCATGATGTGCTCCATTGTTTGTAGTTCGCCCCACACACATGCATCGGAAGTTGACGTTTTCCATTTCTTCATGGATGCCTTGCAACGTCCTTCGCTAACTCGCAGGCGGTTTAGTGTTTTCCAGACAGCCCAAGGTTGGTCGTAGCGAGGCATTCGTCTGGGGTGATGCCTCTCTTTAGCATTGGGAGGTTTGGCTGCCAAGGCTGATCCACTGTTCTGCCATTCGGTAGTCCTGGCATTAGTTAGGGTGGTCTCCAGTACTTCCGTGGTGTCCAGAAAGCTGCTCCTGGATCGTTGGAATGACCCATGATCTTTTTATTTTTTTAACAACAATAGTTTTTGACAAATATTTTCTTTCTTTCAGAAAGTGAGATGAAAATATATCAGAATATATAAATCTTGTTTATATGTGTTAAGTATAAAGCTGGAGTTAAGTTTAGTTTATTTGTTTATAGTGTCGTGGACAGTCACAAAAAACAGTAAATGGGCATCTTTAGCCAACATTACTAATTTCCAGCTGTTATCCCCGGCCAGATGATGATAGACACCCTTAAAATCACAATACATCAACATATTTAGTTATAAAGAAAGGATGAAAGACAAGTAGATACAGTACAGGCAAAAGGATAAAAGAGAACAATAAAATGCAAACAACACACGTTACTACATACATGTCACATATAGCACATCACAATCACATAACAGAAACGAGGGGCAACATCCATGATCACAACATGTAACACACACGCCATATTCAACACAGACTACTGTGTGCAGCTGTAGTTCTCATTGAACCATTTTTTTAAGTGAGCTGTGAAGGTGGGATATGTATGTATGTCTTTGATTTGAGTGGGTAGAGAGTTCCAGTTTTGTATTGCTGTGACCGAGAATGAAAACTGACCAAAAGTACTCTTCCTGAATGGGACTGATAGGTCGCCACGTGTGCTGCTTCTAGTGGTCAGTCTGGTGTTGTTACGTTGAGTAACCAATGAGTTAAAAGGTGGAGGGGCTGTATTGTGCAGGATTTTGTACACTAGAACGATATTCCTATATTTTATTAAATCTTCCCAACTCAGAATATTGTGCTTGTTGAGGATGGTACAGTGATGGGAGCGGTTAGGTTTCTGGTCCAGTACTTTGAGGGTTTGCTTGTACACAATGCTGCATTTTCTTTTTGTGAAAAACATTCCTACTGATTTATGTACATTAAAGTGGACCTATCATGCTATATTTGAATAATATAGTGTAGGACCATACCTATATAAGGCATATTTATACTTTTTTTTTTTCAAAATACCAAACAGATCATGCATTTTAGCCATGCCTCATTTTGCTCAATTTGACAATTTCTAGCTCTGTTTTTGCAAGGGCAGATTATGTGAGAACAGCACCACCTACAGGCCTGGCATATGTACTACAGCGTCTCCAGCGCTTTCGAACGGCAATGGCCGTGGCTGTCTCCTCCTGATTGGTGGAGTTGGCCCAATAGCCGTAGCGCCACCGTCCTGACGTCAGGACAGTGTTCAAATCTGGATCAGTTTTTATCAGATCCGTTGCAGCCCCTTTTTTTAGAGATTTGGGTATGGAGGAAAATAGAGAGGGTTGTGTTTTCTGACACTTGGTGAGTTCCCTGGAACACCGGGGACACATATTCATGTATAAAAGACGTACAAAAGTGCATTTTGCATGATAGGTTTAAGCTGAAGGCAGGAGCGGTTTAGCCTGCGAGTGATCTGCACTAAAGCCGAGGTCAGTTTAGCAGCAGACTTCTGCTTTGTATTGGCATGCACATATATCAAGTCTCTGTAAACTTAACTTAGAGACAGGACACAGGGAGAAAGAGTAAGTCTGGCTGTGTTCAAAGTAAAAAATAAACCCACCTATCAACCTTATCAAGCTAAATAATCGTTTGTTTAAGCAATATTCACACAAATCTTTAAAAATCTGTTAATGTTTTACAGGGACGTACAGATAGTTGAGGCTTCTATTACACTTTCTCATATAAAGTTGATTCATTTTTTGTGGATCGTTTTGATGAGCACAGAATGTGAAGTGCATCAGTGAAATGTTTAGTTAACCGATCTCTGCTTCTCTGTGTCTCAGAGTTAGATGGACCTTACCCTCCCTATGGCTACGCTGATATGCCTCTGGACAGCCTGCCACTAGATCCTGATCTCCACGAGACCTACATCCCTGACATGACCTACGACCCCAGACAGGCCTATCCAGAACCACTCTAACAGGTAAGGCAAGTTTATTTATATAGCACCTTTCAACACAAGGCAATTCAAAGTGCTTTACAAAAATGAAAAAGGTAATCATATATATAATTTATACTGCACTTAACAATCTGGGATACCAAAGGCAATTCAATAATTCAGTTGATAACTGAATTAATTAGATAAAAAGAATGCCTAAGTCAAGGTCATTAGGACTTTGTTTTAGCATATGTAGAACATAATCTATGAGCAGGCCCATATGAAGGAGTTGACTGGAGCTTTACCAGCTTTTATAACACTTTAATGATCAATCATTATAAAACATATCATATATATTATTCTGAAATGGACCAATCTGCACAATGTCTACTTTGACTTTTGCTACTTTAACTATATTTTGATGAGTTTTTGATTTTACTTGAGTAACCCTATGAATGCAGGGCTTTTACTGTAACAGAGTATTCCTACACTCTGGTACTTGTACTTTTACTTTAGTACAACATCTGAGTACTTCTCCCACGTCTGGCTGATATGTACTTCCAGGTCATTTCACTCCATTATGAACCTTCTGGAGCAAAATAGACTGAAACCTTCCTCTCAATAACTCACAGTTGCATTAAGGCGACCTTCTCATTTCCTGGGGATGTGTTAGACCACGGGGTACTCAGACAACTTCTCGTGAATATCCCCACGCTCCCTAGAAGCATCTCATCCTGGACTACTCCAGAAAAGTCGAGAGTACAGCCCCTTTCCAGGAATGTGGTTCCAGAGCCAGTGCTTTGCGTAGAGCTAAGCCCATCTTTGTCAGAACGTTTACCAGCCTGGGTTCCTTTCCCCTCCAGAAGAGGTGACATCCACATTCCAAGAGCCTGTCTGTAATGCCAGGGGTCAGCACGCCTCGGTCCAAACCCGTCTGGCTTTCAATGCTCCTGACCCCAAAGCCTATCCCTGCTGCTGGAGGTCCTACATGGCTCTGTGTCATTCATTCCAGTGTGCTTCAGAGGAATTGGTTGGTCTATTTCTGAGCTGATGGTTTCTCCCTGATTTCCATCTTTTTCTAAGCTTAGCTCACCACATCCACCTCTGTCAGCGCTGTACTTGATACCAATTGTTATTGATCTTCGAATCCCACTCTGGATAAAGTGAATAAGGGTACTTCAAAAATAATGACACATTTATCCCTGGAGCGCTACACTACTACTGTGGCTTCAATGCTGTTATTACAAATATTTCCTATAATATTTCTGAATCCAGTTTAGAATACTTGCTGTTTTTTGTTGCAGGAGAATGACTATGGTGAAAGAAAATGAAGGAATGAGCAAATCACAGGAAGAAAGACTGGAGGAATGGAGCGAGGAAGGAGTTGGAGATTTGAACTTTAAAGGCAATCAGCCCTATCCAACAAGTGGAAAAATACCATTTCTCAATCAAGAACATTTAAAAGAGGTTGCTTATTAAAAGAGGTTTATTGTTGCTGTAAATGAAAAATGTAACTTTGTTATAATGTTTTACTGTGGGGTGGAAGTAGGGGGTTGTCTGAAGTTTGGAGGCAGAGTTACACGGGTAATGTTTTGAATCATGCAATTATTTTGTTTATTTTGTGACATACAGGAAACAGGAGGGGTTCAACCAAAATCAGCTGATAATCCTTCTGAAATATTTTTGCATTTCATCTGTAAAGAGTTTCCTAGTTAGAGAGAATTTGAACTTGCTGAATTGTTACAACACCAAGGTTAGTGTGACGTAACTGATGCGATGCCTGTTGCAATATTAGTGTTGTTTCCCACTTATAGATACCTCATTGGAAACACCCATATTAGTCGTAAGAAGTTCAATTTAAAAGTTATATATACCGTAGTTAATTTTTTTACATACGTCACAAAAACCTTCACTATGAAAACTCTGAGCATCACTGAGATATTTGCCCGCATATCACGCATTATTTTACAGGGTTAGATTTTTTCCCTGATGGGCATTACTGCCAATCACCATTGCTACCAAATGCTCCCCGTGTATCCTAGCCTTTAGCTGCTGTCTTTTAGATGTCTCCTCTGTGTATTTGAACAGTGCACATGTCCCAGGGTGTCCATGTGTGGTTGTTGCATGGTAGTATCGTGTACACATTTAAATATTCTTCACCTTTACATACTGAAAAAAAAGACTACAAATGCACCGAGTGGATATTCTGTTCAAATGTCCACAGGAAATGGACGACAAATCTCTTTGGCATCTTCTGCATAAGACTACACATCCTGTCATCCCAGTCAGTCTCCAGTGGAAATGGACTACAGCTCTCTGATCAGTGTGTGCATTGTGGGTGCCATGGAGCACACTGCAGAGTAAATATATGGTACCTGCACCGTGCTTACACATACAGTAATGACAAATGGCCTTTGTAGGAGGGTGGGCGTATTATAGACATTTGTCGATGACTATGTCATTGTCAATGCAGAGGTGTGGGCTGCAGGCTCTAATATAACATAAATAATACTTGCTGCTGCTCAGAGCATGTATTAAAGATCCAGATTGGTTTGCAGCATCTTTTTCTACCTAGCCATCACATCTTAATACAGTGTACATGGTATGCATTAAAACGTGGACATGTGTGGACATGTCTACATATGTGGACAGTTGGGTGAAAAACACTCTAGGGGAAACCGTGCTTATAGTACAGGCTGTTGTGATTGGCTGCAGTACCAACAACAGCAGCCTGAGATGTTAAGAAAGCACAATTACAATTACTTATATATTGCTAAAGCAATCTACAACAGCTATACTGTTGCTGAATCTGAATATCATTACATTTGATTATTTTCAACGGTTTTGGTATACATTTTTTCTGCTCGCATAAAGGACTATTGAAGATTTAAACTGCCCATATTAAAACAAATCAAACAAATCAATAGTGATATTCAATATGTATTTCCTTTTCATGTAAATGTGTCTAAATTAAATGAAAACATTTACATATTGTTTAATATGGCACGGAAAACACATGCCACAAAGAAATTAAACAAATTCAGTTCATTATGACAGTGAATGCGCACATCAAAAGGAAATACATATAACCATGTGATTTGTGTTTAACTTAAACTATTTATCAGATTTACATTTAGTCAACTTTCATTCTAGTAAATGTTTTTTTTTCTTCTTCAGAACATTGTTTCATGACATTCTTCTCGTTCTTTATTTGGGATATCAAAGAGGCGTTACTAAATATGTTGCTTTGTTTAAAACCTGTAGTATCATCTGATTGCTTATTACCCCACCAGACTTATTTCTAGTGCTTTGCCACATTCAATTATCATAGCATAGATATAATGTCCGGAACTAAACTGAAACTGAACAGCAGTTTTTCTCAACAGAATGTCCCCTTTAACCAATACCATAGAGCAGGGGTGCCCAACCGTTTTTGAACCGAGAGCTACTTTTAAAGTTACCAGTCTGCCGAGATCTACCAGTCCAAATAGAGAGGCGTAGCCATTACTGACAGCCTACTACCAGGTAAATACACACTTCTACTTGTATAAAACTGACCTTTGTACGATTAATACTTCATAAAATACTGCAGATCCTTTATCTTACCTCTTTCTAATCTACACACATACAAGTATTTAACTGAAGTTACACAACAGTGTTGTTGATACAGAGTTGGAGTTTATTCACACGTCACATACTACAGTGGGTCATGTTTTCAAGAAACATTGAACAGTGCTGCCACATATGACACAGGAAAAAAAGACTCTGAACCCTTTCTTTGCCATTATATAAAAATAGTGTTGCTCCAAAAGTATAAATTAGGCTTACTCATAAAACAACTCCGATCTGAAGCTACACAGGAATCTGCTGCCAAAGTGCAATAAAAAAGACAAAATTAATAGAATCAAACCCTTTTTTTGTTGCATTTTAGTAGAGTATAAAAAGAAATGCCTTTAAAATAGGATGTAAGCAACACTAGTTTCTTAACCTGAATTGATAATAAACTATAATCAATTTAAGTTTGCATTCTTATACCATTTTGTACAATAATTATAATGAATAAGTTCAAACAAACTAAAACTTACAGCTGATTAATAACGGTATCTAACTTGAGTTTTTATTATATCAAAAACCTGCTACTGTTATTTTTACTGTCCCCAAAAAGCGTGTCGGCAGCCTCCAGGAATGCTTCTTTCACAACTTCGCCGTCTTTGAAAGACTTCATGTGTTTGGCAAGAACGTGACTGACACGATAAGATGCTATGGTAGCAGCCTTGCTCTTGTTGTTGGGCCTGGTGAAAATGGACTGCTGTGCATTTAGCTGTCCTTTCAGGTCCCTCACCTTTTGGGAGGTAGGGCAGAATTAGGAGGGAATTCCGTCTCGTAGCGTTTGTGCACTGTTTTGAAATGCCGCTCCTAAATGACCCTTCTTCGATAAAGCCACGCTCGCATTGCAGATGAGACAGATGGACTTTGAATTGGAATAGATACAAAAATAATCATCCTCCCACTCGGAGTGAAAATTATATATTTTGGGCTTTTTTGCTTCTGCCATAATTGTGGTCTTGTGTGTGTGCGGACTGTCACTCCTGTTGAGACGGACAACGTCAGCGAAATAGTGCCCACTGCCCACCAGCCACGCCCCGACACATGGGGTCACGCCGGCCAATCACAAAGCTTTGATGCGTTCAAGTGCATTATTCTGGCACAGGAAGATTATGTTATAGGACATTAACGATAAAACAGAATATTGTTGTTCTATTTTTAGACACATCTCGCGATCGACTGGGAATCTCCCCGGTCGATCGCGATCGACTGGTTGGGCACCCCTGCCATAGAGCCATGTAGTGCACAGCCAACCTTAGGCTAAGACTTTTGTAGCCTGTTAGGGTGGCACTTTTTCAGTTAACTCTTAATAAGAATGTATGATTTATATAACCAAGAGCTACATAAACCCACACTATCTTCCAAAACACTAGGCTAAATGGGATTAAAACCCCTATAAGGCATGCGCTGTGAGGGACGGTGTAACCTTTACCTGAGCCTGACTTGTTTGTAAGAGCCCCCCTCAAATCCAGGAATTTAATTTCTGGTACTATCTTCTTCACATTCTCACTTACAGACCATAATATTTCAAATGCATGTTGAAACAGCCCGGACCAAGGTTCTGTTTAGTAGGTGTCCTCTGCGATACATTTCATGCATTTTGATCATATTTATTTATTTGTTCAACTCACCCGCACATTGTGAGTTATTTTGTTATATCTGCCAGACGTTAAATCTTTAACAGAAACGCGGGTCTTAACATTTTGATTTGTGCAACAAGGGTTCCCCACTGTTTTGTTGTCTTTGAGTATGTAAGTCGTCCTGGCCCTTGTTTGTGATATTGTATTTAGTGTCATCTTTAGAGCAGGGGCCAAATTCAGTTCCTATAACATGTCTCCAAAGTGAGCAGAGAACAGTTGCACCTGTAGCAACAAAAAGGAAATTATACCGTTTCCAAACCTAACTTTGCCGTACAAATCATTGAAATGTCTGTGAGTTTTTAGCTTTAGCTTTACGCTGTGCGCGCTCCCACGAGGTGCAGTGGGCAGCATGCATAACACGGCGCTAACGGCCCGTCCACACAGCGGCGTGCGTTGAAGCTTCAACGCTTCTGCCCATTCACTTTGAATGGGGTGCCGTCACGTTTCGCCGAACTGCATTGTGGGAGCGAAGCGTAGCTTCAAAAGCGTTGCTCGCTGCAAAAGTTGAGCAATGTTCAACTTTTGAAGCTTCGGCGGAAGCGTCAGCCAATCGAATCATATGCCAGTACAAGCTCTAGCCAATCAAACCGCGTGCTTGTGTGTCCGGGGCGGGAGATTCATGTGATTGGTCGAGTTTCAGCCCCCCCCCGCCGGCAAGCTTCATCGCACGTTGCTGTGTGGACGGGCCGTAACAGTTCACGAGCGTGCTCTTCGAAAATGACATTCCCAGAACAAATGACCATAACTTCCCTTCTAAAAGGGGTAAATTAATATTCTTTTTTGTCAAAGCAATGATAAACCTGTGAGTTGGCAACACACTCTCACTCCATAAACGTGCAGTTGGGACGCTCCTAGGCTCCTTCAGCTTCATAAACAGACGCAAATAGCTTTCAACTGATTGCAATGTATTCCCATCTGCGGCGGGATTTGACGCTCATGGAAGCACGGCATTCGTTTGTGTCGGAGGCTGTTAAAAGCAATGTGAGCGTCCATTCCCATTGGATAACGGAGAATTGTACACCCGGAAGTAAGTATTCCCCTTACTGTCGATTGATTTGACAGTGATATCTCCACTACTCATCAACTCAAAAACACCAGATTATCCTTGTTAATTAAACAACATTGATAGGTTTTAGTGTGTGTACAATGCTTTTGTCACGTTTTCCCCTTCAATTCTGAGAAACAAGTCGTTTTCTATGAGTTTTGGATGGCCGAAGACATTACATTACCCACAATCCTCTGTAGCAACCATGGACTGTATATTGCAACAGGCAACAGCTTCGGTTCATGTTAATTTACAAACTCTTCAACTACAACCGTAGTTATATTTAAAAACATGTTAGAAGGCCTCACAAAATACTTTAATGTCAATTAAAATTGAAATGTGAAGGAATGTGTGTATATTAACTGTGGGTTTTTCTCTGGAAGTCTTTCCTTGTACGATGTGAGGGTCAAAGGACAGATGATGCCGTTTTTCTAATACTGATATTCCGCAATGCACGCTGGGATTTGGTGTTTATGCGATGTGAAATCCGAAAACATTTAAAAAAAATTAAATAATACATTTTTCCGAGTGTGCTTGCTTTTCTCTTTGAAAGTCATCACATAACGGCATTGTAATACATGTTTCGGCTGCATTAAATATGACATATCTGCCGTAGTTAACTCTATTTATAGAGCCCTGATGACAAGACTTCTATACAAACAGGAACTGCCGCCAAAACTGAAAACTTGACGTGGATCTTAAATATATAAGCAATTAAACAACATCTTACATTTCTTTTCACACAATACGTCTCCTTGCAGTATCAAAACTAATTCGGCTGACTTTTATATTTGATCCAATTGGTAGATAGGCTGTATTTACGCTATAACGGTGCACAGCTGATAGAAAGGGACACCTACTGATTAAAGCACGTTTTTGCATTTTATAATTTTATTATAGTCCTTTTGGAACAGCGTCACTACGGAGAGAGCGTACAGCTGTGACCAGTGTGTGGGAAGATGGCGCCTGTGTCGGCTCGCCGCTCCCTCAGCTCTCTGCCTTCAGCTATCCTGTTTTTGTTTTATGTTTGTCAGAATGTCTCTGCTCTGCTCGTCTACGATCGCCAAGCTCTCCTCCACCTCAGACCCTCACTGGAGTTTATATTGCTGCCCAAACCTACATCTGGCAACCATAAATCTTCCCCCCCCCCCTCTACTGTCGGATATACCCACCTACCTGCGCCGGTTGCCCTGCATCCTGCCTCGCCGAAAGCGCTTTAGACGATGGGGAAAGCGTGGTGGTGCACTGGTCC